CGCCGCTGCTGCCAAGTGCCCCCCCGAGTTGACAGCAGACTGCACGGCGCGCGGCCGAGCACCAGTTTCACCGTCGAAGCAATTGCATCAAGTAGTGCGCCATGATAGTCTTCGTTGGAGAGCGTAAGTGAGAGAGGCCACGGCGGAAAGTGAGCGAGCGAGCGGCGGCCTGTTGCACTCCAGAACGCGTCGCTCTTTCCGCTGGCTCTCCCTCTCTTCTTCGCCATCCTCACCCGCCCGAGATGAAACCAACCCCGATGATGATTCGGTGCAAAGATGTCATCGAGTGACTGCAACGTGCGCCGAGAGCACTCGCGTGAGCGCTCCGGTGCTCCCGCGACGCGGCAGACCTCGCGCCGATCGCGCAGAACATCACGCGAGACATCAGCAATCCCCGCCGCGCTCGGAGCTCACGGATCCGCTGCCGCCGTCACGGCCGCGACCTTACCGAACTGCCTCTGTCGTAGAGTGGAACTGTTGTAGAGTGGAACAACGAGCTCGCGGCGGCCGTCGGTCTCGGGCGCCAAGCGGTCGCACTCTCCACGGCTGCACAGCATCGAGGCCGTGCAACGGGACGTCCGCGCTGTCGGACACGCCTCACTGACAGACTGACTCGCTTCGACGCGCTCTGTAGCCCGACCCGCAGATTCAGCGAGTGGTGGTCGACTCGGCGGGCTCGCACGCGCACCGCGTCGTGTCTCATCTCAGCCGTCGACGTGCCCCGCGTGCGCGTTCTCCGCGGTCCCAACGTGGCGCCGCCACACGGCCCGACGACGCCACCGGCCACCCATGTGCGTCGTCGCTGATCGCACTCCCGCTGCCCGCGCTAACCGCCTGTCCCGAAACCCATGTATCCCGCTCGACACGACTTGCTGAACCTATGCCGCACCGACCATGCGAACCTCCTCCACTGCGCGCCTCCGCCCGCCGCCGCCTCGTCACCACTCTCCCCGACACGCGCAACCCCTCCCCGGTCGTTCCTCGACACGCACAAACACCGCCGGCTCGATCCTTCGCGAAGACGCACCGGTGGCGCTCGCTCGGTAGCTGCTTTCGTATATACTCGCGCTTACGCGCTTCCTCGAGCTGTACCGCGTCGTTTCCTACCTTCCTAGAGCGTCGCGGCGCGACTCGGGCGTCACGGCGGCTTTCCGCAGGTTCTCGCCCTTGCGTCGGTCGCACCATCGCCTCTAAACTCTCAACCCGGTGCTCGCTCGGGGCGACTGCCGCGGCGTCGGGGTCGCAGTCCCGTTGCACCCTAGCGACGGTCCGATTGACCTTGGCAAGCTTTCTATGCGCTCCGCTGTCGATCCCTTTTTGCAGCTGCAACACTCCCCGCGCTTTCGATACACACCAAAAGTGCGATACATCACGTTCTTCGCATCCGCGCCATCGACGTCACCCCTGCACCGCGATCACACCTCCAGCGAGCGGTGAAAGCAGGTCAAGGGTCAGCTCGGGTCAGGTGGCCAGTCGCGCGTGCTTTCCGACTGGTTTTCATCCTGCTCCCGCTCCGCCACCACGGCCCGTCGACGACGAACCAGTCAGTCTGCCGTCGTGACTGAATCGGCTTGACAGCGACGACCTTTCTTCATGCAACGGACTGGAACTATGAAGGCGGCCGGAAGCCCCGCCATCCCCGCTCGCTCTTCCTCATACCCCTGCCCGTCCATCGCGCTGCCCTGCTGACTACAGTCCCACCCGTATCCCGCACTGCAACATCTTGACCGAGCTTCCCGCACGTCCTATCCTGGATTTGCACCACCCCCGGCTGCATCCTGCGCACATCGGCATCGCCCGCCCGCTCCCGTTCACGCTCGCCTCCGCCATCGACGTCTACCGCGCCGTCATCTTCGCGACGCTCGACTACGGCCCGATCTGAACGGCTCAGCATCTCGGCACCGCCGCTCCTGCGCCACCTGCATCCGACCCGACCCCACCGACCCGACCGGCCCTGTTCCAGGCCAGTCCGTCAGTCGTCTTCGACCTCAAGCTCACCATCATCACCATCCGCATCATGGTGTCGCTCGAGGTGCCCCTCATGCGCAGCCGCGGCCGCATCGCCCGACTCTGCGCCATGTACGAGTCGATCTCGGCGACGTCCGCGCCCGCCGCCGCCATCAAGCTGCACGAGGCCGCGCCGCTCCCGTCGACGGCTACGGCCGTCCCCGACACGTTCTCGGCCCTCGCCCAGCTCCAGATCAACTCCACCGTGGTCGCCGCCGCCAGCCCGGCTCCCGCTCCCGCTCCCGCTCCCGCGCTCGCCCACGACGAGTCGGTCGAGACGCCGGCGGCCGACCACGCCGTCGCCGTCGCTAACTCGGGCTCCGAGGAGCACCTCGTTCCCGTGTCCAAGCCTTCGGCGGCCTCCAAGTCGACGCTCAAGCCGTCCTCGCCGTCGTTCCTCGACAAGGTCGTCGGCGCGCTCAAGGCGCCGCTCAAGGCGCCTCCACAAGTCCGCGTCGCAGCTCAGTCTCGGCGGGGTACGTCTTGTCTCAGCTCTCCCTCGCTCACTGATCCACGACTCACGACGAACCAAACCACCCGACAGACCCCCGTCGCTCCCGAGCACCAGCAGCTGCAGGTCAAAGTCGACACCGCGGGCCTCACGCCCGCCGTCACCTCGACCACCCCCAAGAAGGTCAAGCCGGCCAAGGTCCTCAAGGGTCCCAAGAAATCGGCCATCCGCCGTGTCTCGCGCACCGTGTATAACCAGTGCACGGGACTCGCGACCCGCGCCAACGCGATCGACTCGCGCGACTACTCGGCCGCCGCCGCAACGGCCCGCGTGATCCTCGAGTACCGGTCGCGCAGACCTGGCCACGGACCTGGCGGCGCTGGCGTCGCTGCAGCTCGGCGACCTGGTCAAGAAGGTCCGCGCGGCCATCCGCAAGATCCAGTCCGAGGAACCCGAGGTCGTGGGCGCCGCTGTCGCCGCGATCCTCCAGGCCAACGCGCCGGTTATCTACAACCGGATCTACGCGATTGTCAAGGGCTCGCTCCACGGGACCAAGACGCACTGCGACGCCGTGGTCCAGAAGTGGATTCGCGTTGCTGAGGTACGGCTTGCTGCGTGCGGCCCGATCATCCTGCCTCGACATCGCTGACTCCGCCGATGTGCTTCTTCCCTCCTCGTTGTTTGCCTTTCTCGTCTCCCTGTCCCCCTGTTCCTCTTTCTCGTTGAACTCGTTCGATTTGCTCTTCCCTCTCCCTTCCATCTCTTGTTGCGCCGTTCTCCTCGACCATCTTGTCCCCGCTCGATGATTGATTTGAGATAAAAACCGCGCTTCTGCAAAAACTCCTTTTGACAGGCAAGTGATCCCCCTCATCCTTGACGCTGAAGCGAGTCAGCTTTCAAAGGTTTGGCACCACGCTCGTCGCTTTCACGGGTCTCCTCGAACGGTTGCTCGCGAAGTCTGTCAACCGCTCCGCAGTTTCAGTACGGGTGAGCGAAACGGGCAAGTCGACGTGGTAGTAGTGCCCTTGATTCAAACCGTGATGCCCGCGCGCTCGCGCGATGGCACCTGGGCCATCGAGTCGCGATAACGGTCGCACCATGTGCCTAATCTAGCACGCTACGCGCCAGCTTCGCGTGCATGTTGAGCTTTGAGCTGCGAGGGATCGTCCAGAACTGGTGGTTGGGAGTAGCCCCCAACGCGCGGCTGTTCGTACAGCTGGATAACCAGTTGCACTCGCAGCGATGTGGTATGAAGCAGACGCGTGCGCGTTGCCGCGTCTGCGCCACCAAGTACCAAGTGACAGTCGCCTGGGCGAGTGAGCATCTCATTCGTTGTTCCGCGCGATTGTCTGTGCAAGGTTCTGTTGCGGATGCTACCCTTTCACTCGTCGGACAGGGGCGGGAGCAAACCAACCCGCGCAGTGATCCAACGCGTGCTTCGTGGTCACGCGGAGGTGAACGACGCGTCGCTGGCCGCGCCTCGAGGCCTCGGCTCACGTGACACGACTTAGCTGTCTAAATTCAAGATGCATCGGAAACATTTTTCTGAAGGCAGATTCGTGATCAGCGACCTTCAGAGGTCCGGAATATGTGAAAACCTGCGAGTCGGGGTGTCGGGGTATCGAGAACTCGTCCGACCGTGCAAAGTTGAAAAAAACTTTCGGTTTGGTCGCTCGGACGAAAAACGGACTTAAGGCTTAGCTTCTTGAATTGAGTGGCATATTGGTCCGGGCTGATATTGCACATACGGCTCAGATATGTCAAATGAGCAATTTTAGTGGTGCTCCGGCAATTATCAGAATTAATTTACGGGTGTGGGAGGGGTCGGGAACTTAGTGCTCTAATTCGCCTCCGACCCGGGGCTCGCCGAAACCTCTTCTCCGACGCAGCCATGGCCTTGCGCGGTGTTTTAGAGCAATGCACGACAGGCATGGGATGCGACTCCTCGATGCTTGGTATCTCTATCCGCTCCCGGTGGTCGCCGTCGCCCAACTGACGGGGACGGGGAGTGGAGCGCGCACCTCCGCACTCGGGACAGTGCGACCAGTCCAGACGGGCCAATATGGGTTTTATGAAGCGGCCTGTCCTCAAGGCTCGTTGGTCTAGTGGTATGATTCGCGCTTCGGGTGTGCGAGGTCCCGGGTTCAATCCCCGGACGAGCCCCTTTTGCATCCTGGTGGCAAAGTGTTTTTGCCCTGGAATAGCCTCACGCTTGCTCCCCTTTGTTTTTGAAGCCTGGAACGCCGAGGTGTGCAGCGACTTTTGATGTTCCGGGTCGGGCACGCGCGTGAACACATTGTGTCGTCGCTAAAGGGATAGCTTGGTTTAACGCATCTAATCAGCGAGTAATATTGTAATGTATTTCAAGACCTCTAATGGTGCCCAGTAAGCCTGCCAATCATTTGATGATTATCTGGTAGTATTTGGACTAGTCCTGGCCTATTAAACTCATATTTTGTGCCAAGGGTCCGAGAGCGGACTTGAAGGAGAGAAGAGTTCATAAATCTCGTAGCGGGGGTAGGAAATGTGTCCAAAAATTGACGGCAACGTGCCCGAGTGGTTAAGGGGACTGACTACTAATCAGTTGCGCTAGTCGCTCACAGGTTCGAACCCTGTCGTTGTCGTTTCTTTTTTTTTCTTGTGCCCCTGACCAGGCCGTTCCGGCCTGGTCAATCTCCTCGTTCCAGCTCGCTGTTCTTACCCTTTTCCGGTTTGCGAGGCTCCTGCTGGGGTTACGGAGCAGGCTTCCCTCCGAGCCGCGCACGCAGCCTCCCGTTTGCTCCCTGCGCTAGTGGTACTGGACCTTTATCGATGCTCTTAACGTTAGCGTCACTCAAACTATCATCAAATGGAACTGCTTCACACGTCGCAACTATACATGGCCGACAGTCTCGCATTGCCGTCGTGTAGCACGCGTCCCTGGCCCTGGCGGAGAACCTCGCTCTGTGCGACGACATGCAGAAGCAGCGGTTGAGCCGCATTCGCTTTTGAAGGGTTGTTCCTGCGTGTACCACATCATCCTCTTGTTTGCGGAGTAGTTCACCGCTTGAGTCCGTCATGCTGAGCATATCTCTCCGACTCCGATTACACTGACCACAACGGCCAGTTGCGCTCCCGCGGCACTCTCGAACCATTGTCAACGCTTACCAGCTTGTCGAACCAAGCGTGGTGTCCGATTCCGTCAACATATTGCTTGTGGGATCCAACATGGTTATCTTCTGGCGCACGCTTGTCGCGGCGTTCTCGGTCGGGGACCCTCTGTTACACGTCGTTCATGCAGTGGTGATCGGAGTCATCATCCACCTTGATCTCGCGTGGTTTGTCCGCATCCCGCCTCGCCGCCTGCCGCACTCCCGCGGCGGCGCTCCCCGCTTCTGTTAGTCTCCCTCACTCACCCAGCCCTGGTTCAGTGCCGAAGCAGGAATACACCACCCTGACTAGCTGTATCGTGGCCTCCTCTCGCTTGACCTGCACAGCTCAACACCCGATGATGAGTTCCTGCCTGAACGTGGTGCTCCCGCCCACAAATGGCCATCATCTAGCTCGCCCGTGGCTGTGCGTGCTCCGCAGTCCTTTCTGAGTCGAGCGAGCGAGTTTGACAAACCTGCGCCCCGAGAACGCGCCCAGGGGATCGGATTACCGCCTAGCATGCGCTCGCGCGTCGCGCCACTCAGCCACTGTGGCGCACGCAGCCTGAAACGCGTCGAGTCTGATCGCTCACTTGATGGCGTCCCGCGTCGCTCACGGCAAGCCGGCCGGCGTGTGCGCTTGAGTTTCTCGGCATGGACTACTTGCATCACGTTCCCAAAACTGTTTGTATTTCCTAGACGCGCGCGTGAGCGTCGCGCCTTCAAGTTGGCAAGGGGAGCGCGTCACTCTTCCCCTCGTCGTCCCGTTGTCCACTCCGCGCAAGGCTCATCACGTAATAGGAGGCTGCTGCATCATTGTCGCTGGAATGGTCTCCAATCTCATGAGCATCATCGCGGCTTTGGTGCTGATGGTGGTTGCTCGAACTACGGCCAAGCGTGCTCCAATTTTCCGTCGCAGACGCCAACGTCGTTGGTCGAGTCGACGAAGTCGCAGCGTGATGGTGCGACGACAACGCAGTCATGTTGCCCGACTGCTTCTGCTGCTGCTGTTGTTGTTGTTGTTGCGGATTCCACGCGCTCGCGAGGAGCGTCCCCGCCTCGGCGTTTGGAAGCCGGCGCCAAAGAATCATCACGTCGCGCAGCAACTTTCGCGCGCGGTAGAAGCTGACGGTGATCAAGCGCGCGCTCACCCATCCGATCACGTCGTTGAGCTGCGCCGAGAGCCCTGCAGCGCCTGAAACCAAGTAGGCGTTCCCGCCAAGGAGCAGTACCGTCCACGCCACGAGCACGGCGAGTCGAACAAAGCACCGCTGGTACTGGGTATCGCTCGAACCGTCGCTGGTCCTCGGGTCGACCACGGTGTCGTTCAGTGGTTCAACCGTGTGCGGTCGGCCGCAAGCGCGCTTCAATGATACGAGGAGCTTGGCACGCGAGAATGAGGATGTGCGTTTTGGACGCTCGCCGCTGCGAGACTTGGGCAGTGATGGCTCGCACGAAGGGCTGTTCTCGCCCACAACGGCAGGTGTTGTGGCGGTACCGGGAGACAAGTGCAGCCGAGTAGGTGCCGCTGCAGTGGCCTGATCTCGGTCGTGCTGCTGCTGTAAAGTGGGTCGAGAGGCACGAATGCTAGTGCGCGCCGCAGCGCCAGGACGCGACCGCGCAATGATCCAAAAGATGCCCGCGAGCGCCATGGTGGCCAGGACCACGAGCATCCCAAAGTAGAGGTTGAAGACCAGTCCGTATACGCCGAAAAAGGTGCCCAGCCCGAGCCACGCGCCCGGCCCGATCAGGCGGAGCGCCGTGCGCAGCGGGATCAGCGTCGCGAGGACGGCCGTCAGGACGAGGAGCAGCGCCTTGCAACCCGTAAAAACGTGGCGAGTCAGCTGCAGCCGAGGCAGCGCGTCGAGTGCCGTGCCAAGCAGGAGGACCGGGTACACGGGGAGCGCCAGCACCTCGCCCAGACACGCTGCGTCAAGGATCAGCGTGCTCGCTCGCGCAGCCCCGAGCCAGCACAGCGAGGCGCTCGGTCCTGACGGGCACTGGACCATGCCAGCCTGCTCCTCGAGGATCCGCGCCGCCGAGCTCGCCATGTGCAGCGCGTGGACGGCCGAAAACGACACCCACAGAACATACTGCTGGTGCTCGAGCCCAGCGCGGCGGCGGCCAGCGAGGGTCCACTCGCGCCAGAACTTGCGCGCAAAGTACAGGTTGATGGGCAGCGTGGCCGAGTACACCGACAGCGAGATCCATGCGTCGACGAGTGCTCCTTTGTCATTCATTTTCATGTGCGTTGCAGCGAGTCGCCTTTACATTCGTTTCGTTGTTGTGTGTGAGGTTCAGTAAACGTGTGTGTGTTCGGCGTTGCCCTCACGTTGCTGTATTCGGGAGACACGCGAGACGCGCGCGATCACGTCCACGCGCATGAACAACGCGTCCCTTCTCTGCGGGTCTATCCGCGCGCAGGGCTCCCGCGCAAGACTCTCCCGCGCAATCAACCGTGCCATCAACTGGTCCTGTATTCGTCACATCACTACCGCGTCACCACTCGGCCGGGTTGCCGAACCGGTGGTCGCGGAACCACCCCGCGCCGTGCTCAAAGTACTCGGCGCGCGACACGTACGCCACGGGCGCCGTCGCCGCGCCGCGCCACGCGTCCACGACCGGGTCCGCCGCGCGCCGCACGTCGAGCGAAAAGGCCTGTGGCAGCTCGCGCGTCAGCTCGAGCCCGAGTCGGTCCGCGAGCCCTGGGATTGTCGCGCCGCCGCCGCTGCACACGACCGTCGCTGCCGTGATCGGACTCGTTCTCGAGTTGTCGTTGTCGCAGCGACGGCGCACCGCCTGCACCGCCGAGAGGACCAGGTCCTGTAGGCCCGCCTCGTCCACGCCCACCAGCGACGGGTGGAACAGCGCCTCGGGCACGCGCACGCGTTCCACGTTCAGCCGGACCTGGTGCGCACGAAGGAAACGCTCGTCGTCGGGTGTGTCCGGTGCGATGGGCGCGCCGCGGGACAGGCGGTGCAGCACCGTGGTCTGGTCCCTAACGCGGTGCAGGCGCAGCGGGTCGTATTCGGCGAGCAGTCGGTCTAGTCGAGCGAGTGCGGCGGATGCGTCGTCGTCGATGTCGTCGGGCGAGTCCTTGGACTATATTCAACAGGCCGTGTCAGTTGTTCCTTTGCTGCATATCCGCGTGGAAATCGTACCAGGGAGGTGTAGACTTGCCACCCGGCCGTGTCGTCGCCGAACCGATCCTCTACAAACAGCGGAAATCCATTCGTGAGTGGGTCGGCATTTCGAAAGTATCAGCGACAGCGGTACGTACCAGTCGCACGAGCGCGCTTTCGCCGGCGCCCCTTGCCGGTATCCTCCTCGTCCTCGTCGAGCAGCGAGGCCATGACGCGCATCCGCGTCGCGGTCTCCGACTTTTTCCGTGCGGCTGATCCGGCGCTCTGGCGGTTGGCCTTTTCCGCGAGCTTGGCGCGGGCCGAGACGAGCTCGGCGATCCATTTCGGCCTGTCGGCGGCTAGCTTGGCCTGCTCCTCGGCGGTGAGGGTAACGCGCTCGAGGATCGCTTGAGTGTGCTACACAGTGCGCGCAGAGTCAGCAGGATTTGGGGTATCGCGTGGTGGTTTGGGGGACGCGTACTGTTGAGGTGACGGGGTACTGAACTACCACGTCGGCGGCTGGGTCGGCGAGGAGGCGGTGCAGCTCGGCCGGGAACGACTGGGCGACGTAGCAGTGGTGGCGGATGAAGTCCTCATGGTCGCGGAAGCCGAAAATGTGCGGGAAGTCCCAGTACTTTGTCTGGACCAGGTGCTGCATGTAGCCGTGCAGCTTCTCCCAGCCGACCGAGAGCCTACGTGGGACGGCGCGAGGTGTCAATCAGTGGCACCGACAGTTTCCGTACCAGATGCGGCGTACCGCTGCGCGGCCGAAAAGTCGGGCGAGCCCGACGGGTCCACGGGGATGACGGTGGTGCTGCTGTGGCCAACCGAGACGGCGACGGCCATGTGGTTTGGTGTCGGCGTGGCGGGGAACGCGTTGGGTGCGTTGCGGTAGAGCGAGAGGAGGCCGTCGACGCCGATGGCGAGCTCGGGCACGTTGTAGGCCTCGTACATGAGCTCCTGCACGATGGCTCGGCTCAGCGGCGGGTTCGTGGCGGGCTCGGTGAGGACGACGCGTTCGAGGTTGTCCGGGGTCGCGCCTAGGTTGATGAACCCGTAGTCGAAGATGGTCTCCTACAGAGAGCAAGCGAATGGAGTGTGAGTCGCGTACGCTCGCGCCTGTAGCGACGGTTCAGCGTACCATGAGATCGGAGCTGATCACGACGCCGTCGTCAAAGGGTGTGCGCGCGCGCTGACCACCGAGGTAGCCGACGTGGACCGTGTTGACGGCGGTGTGGCGGTCGCGGAGCTTGTTGACGGTCGGGTCGGTCATGACTAGCGCGGGGACGGCGGTGAGCGCTCGGCTTGCGTGCGGCACATAGGATGAAAAATGCATACCAATCGGCGCATCGTCCGTGGCCCAGCCGGCCTTGA